ATGAATAGAATTTATAGGAAAAGATTTATTATTAAAATTTCAAAAAAAATTTTAATTTAAATAATATTTTTAAATAATAACTTTTCGAAAATTTATATATTTATTTATTTATATATTTATGGTTTTAATTTAAATAGTAATTTTTACAAAATTTATATATTTATATACCTATATATACATTTAAGGTTTTAGTTTAAATTATAATAATTTTTATATAAAATTTATGTTTATTTTTTTATATATAGATGTTTGTGTATTTATGTATTTAATGTTTTAATTTAAATAATAATTTTTATATAAAATTTATATGTTTATTTTCTTATATATAGATGTTTGTGTATTTATGTATTTAAAATTTTAATTTAAATAATAATTTTTATAAAATTTATATATTTATATATATTTTGAGATATATATAATTTCATTAATTGTATTTCATTAATTTTATTTATATAAATTTATCTAAACAGCTTATATTATTAAAGTTTAATATCGAAGATATTAAGAAAATTATTTTTTTCAGATATTTGTGAATATATATTGAATGTATATAATATTGAATATTATGAACATATAATAGGATAGTAGTTTGTTAGGGCTATTCCATATAATACTCCTTATGCACATGGTTGCGGGGACTTGCGCGTTGGAAGACTAAGGAAAGGCGCGTGGGGTTTTTAGTTGGTAGTCCCTGCCGTTAAAATGGCGGCAGGGAGAGCCCAACACTACCCCGACGGGACCGCTAAATAGCGGTCCCGTCGGGGTGTGCATAAGGAGCATTTTCCCCACGTAAAAAAAAAAAAAAAAAAAACTTGTTAAATTATGTTGTATTACATTTCAAATTATATTATATTTTAATAATGGATTTCAACAATAAATTTCAACAATGAATAACATAATATCCGACATAAACAATACCGTGCCAATGATTTTGTTTTACGGTCTTGTTATGCAAATTTAAATTTATATACTATATTGCAAACTAAATGCTGCAATTGTATATATTATATTATATATAAAATTATATATAATATAACCCTCCCATGGGGTACACCTTGTCGCGGTGGGAGGGCTTAGTACTTGGATGGTGTCTTGAGATTTATCTTAAATTTTTCTATTTATGATAAATCTTAAGGTGCTTGAAAGGGAAGCTAAGTACCCTTTCGCGTCGTCGGTGCCGTCAACGTGCCGCGGACGGCAAGCGTTTCGTTACCGCGTTTTCGCGTTGTAGTATTCTCGCGTCGTCGCGTTTTCGCGGAAATTTTGGACTTTTTCATATAAAATCCCAATTTCATTTATTGTCACGAGTCTCTACTTCCGATGCCAACTAACTGGGATGTTTCGAGTTTGCACACGTTGTTATGCAACGTACACTCGTGCTTCGTGCTTCGTACTTCGTCAAATGATTCGGCCCGAATTAGTTAGAACTCGATCGATTGCTCGGAATGGTCGTCAATGGGTCCCTTCTCTTTGCTCGTCTACCCTACAGCCACACGCACTGCGTGTGTTAACCCTGTCGAGGAGTCGAGTGGATTCCCCTAAGCATGATTTTCGCTCGGTAAAAGGGGTTGCCTCCCCATTTTTTAAATTGCTGAATGTTAGCATTTAAAAAATGTGGGTATCCTCTTCTTTTGCCGTCTACCAGCCAGGTGTAGCCATATCCTGCATTGCGGGAAACTTCGTGTTCCGGGCGAAGCACCTGAAATCATGCTTAGCGGGTCCAGGTTCGATACGAGATAGGATAATTATGCGCGAAAAAGAGCTGGTGAACTTTATTTTCCTCTATTCCTCAATCGTTTCGTCTTCTTTCCGGTTCGGGCCTAATCTTTGCTCGTTGTATCGTTGCACTCCCGATCTGTTGGCTCAAAGTTAAGTCTCGTAAATGAAATGAGATTTTCGCTCGTACCGAAACCGGGAGTGTCGTTGAAAGTATATATATATTAAATATATACATCGCGCGACCAAATTTTTAATCGTACCGAATTAGTGCGGGAGTGCCGTTTAGTATCGCGCGTAAAATAGCGGAAATAGCGATATAAAAATATCGCTCGTGAGTGCGGGAGTGCCGTTGAAAGTATCGCGCGTCAACAACATGAGAGGAGGAGGAGGCCTGGGAAAGGCATCTTGCATCGGCGGAGCAACCTGATGGTGAATATTTATTATTTGTATATCAATTGTTATAAATCGTACGTATAATAATTCGATCTTATTATTTAAATGAATTAAAGAGAAAATTAGAGAGAAAGATTTTTATAAAAGTTATATAAAACTTTTTAAAAAACTTTCTTGAAAAACAGTTTTAAAATTTTATAAAATTTTCCCACACGTGTTTATCTCTGCTTATTATTTTACACATCGGATATAAAATTCCGCGTGATAAAAATAAATTTTTGAAATTTTGATTGCATTTTGTGAGCATTAATATAAATGAATTTTATATTTGTATGTTACAGACAACTAGCTTCGATAACAACAACTCCGCTGTTGCGCATCAGTGCCGGTGAGTGAGAAAAACTTTTATTTAACTTTAAGGTAACGGATTCGTAGAGATTGTAGATTGTAGATTGTAGATTGTGAATTGTAGAGTAAGTCCGTTGCCTTAAAATGGATGAGCTAGGATAGATTAAATTAAATAACTTTTAATAAATTTTTTCGAAATGCTTTGCATCTATTGCGAAAATATATTGAAGTATTAATTTAAAAAAGAGAATCAAGAAAAGAAAATTTTTTTTGTAAAGACTTGACTAGTTTATTAAATCAAGAGCACGCATTAATAATTTTAACAATTTTATCAATTTTTGATACTACTTTATTCTTATATCGCGCACTTATTTTATTCTAATTTCTTATATCATAGCTCATCCATTGTAGAATTTGTTTGTAGATATTGTTTTTAAATTTTACTTTAACTTAAAATAAAGCCAAACGATTAATTAATTAAATAATTTGTAATATCATAAAAGTTATACACACACATGAATTTTATATTTTATTAGAAGATATAGTATATAGAAATTTGTTGTAATTTAGCTTTATTTGAGTTAAAATAAAGTTATATTCAAATATTTAACAAACGATCGTAAAATCGAGCGATCGTTACGATGAGCGTGAAATATTTATGCTCATTTGCCGGTAATTAATCGGCAAAAGAAGGAGTATTTATCTCCTTTTTCGATCTCTGATTAGAGATCGACCGAGAAAGTGGCCAGGATCAATGAAAAGTAAGTTCAACTGGCCTGAAGAAAAGCTTTACGTACAATAGTACGTAATGTCGGACATTTATTCACGCGGTTAGGGCATGCGGTTAGAGAATGTAATTAGAGCACGTAATTAAAGTATACGTGATTAGAGATAGGCTTTCCTCGAATAATTTCATTTAATCGAGAAATAGGATTGTTAAGGCTATTAGGTGATCATTAAGATTTTTTAATTTTCCTTTCAAAAAGTAAAGGATTGTTAGGGCTATTATGTGATTAATTTAGCTGATTTTATATTATGTATCTTTTAAAGAATCAGGAAATGTAGGTTTAAATAATATTAGGGAAAACAAATTAATAAATATTTCAATAATTATATTATTAATATTAAGAATTTTTAAGGGATCAATATTTTTTGAGTATTTTCTAAGAGAGTTTTTTTCCCCACGTAAAAAAAAAAGGATTGTTAATTTATTTTGTATTACATTTCAAATTATATAATATTATATTTTACATTAACTTTTTGTATTAAATTCTGTAGTGAAAGAAAATGAAAAATTTTGCCTTCTCGATGATATCTCCATCTTAAGGAAGGCATTTGCCGGCTGAAGAGGTTTGAGTATTTTAATGAGCCTGAGAGCTATGCCGGCGGTAACATACACCGATATTCGTATAGACTTTTCTTATATTTAAGATAATTTTAAGTATGATCTTAAATATAAAAGTGAGTAATGAATACTGATCGTAGTTATTGATAGCGTCATCTATGCCGGACATGTCGAAGGGGAAATGTCAGACTAAGAGAAATACCAAAATTATATAAATATTTGTTATATTAATTATATTAATATTTTTAAATAAAATGAAAGAAAAAGGGAATAATCGAGAAAAAGGCAACTACAGTGATTTGAATATCTATACCTGAGAACAAATAGAAAGTATTTCGATGGACTCCATAGGAAGGAATAAGCATGACACAAATGATGATAATTTTTATAATTTTAACACAAAAGAATACAATAAACCATAATAATCCAAGAACTCGAAGAAGAGGAGATTTTTATTGGATAGAAATGCATAATGATTGAAAATAATTAGAAACTAAAAGACAGTGTGCAATCTATTTATTAATAATAATACTATTTTGTAATATTTTGTATATTAAATTTTATAATTTAGTACATTATATTATATAAAATATTAAGCATAAAAATATTATGCTGGTAAGAAAATTATAATAAAAGTATATAAATAATGTTGACTATATTAGAATAGAACATATAAATTCTTTATATTTTATATAAAGGAAGAGATATTTAAAATATTTTGCAACATCTATATTTTTCGAATATATATATATATATATATATATATATATATATATATATATATTTCTAAACATAACGCAAATATTTCAGAATAAAGTTGTAGCATCATACTATATATACATATATATATATATTATATGTGTATGTGTGTGTTTATTTGTGTATGTGTAGAGAGAAAGAGAGAGAGAGGGAGAGAGAGAGGATCACAAAATTTATTTAAAAAATTAAAATTAAAAATTTATTTATATTTATATACATATGCGTTTTGCTATACAGCTGATGGCATTTCGTGTACTACAGGCATTTTTTACATAGCACGGAACAGAATCAGAAATTGTGCACATATATGTTACCCTCTGAGAACTTTCGTGGACTTTGGCTTTGTAGTTCATGTCCACGTTTTTTAGATTAACAGAGGGCATATCGCTTTCAAGGATCACCTAAAAGCGGGTCATGACACCTCTCAGTCTTCTCTCTGTCTATGATAAATACGGGTTCCACCTAAATCGGGAGCATGGCCGCTCTCAGGCCTCAGGCTTCTCTCTGTTTGCATACTGTAGTAAGCTTGTTTGTGTGACGTATGGAAATTTGTCAAAGCATGTGCCAAGGAATTTATTATCGAGTTTGAAAGTTAAATGGCACGATTAAATGCAAGGAAGAATGATGCTCGATCAACATTAAATCTGTGAGATTTTTAATGAAGTGAAAAAGTAGTTTTCGAGAAGATCGCCGATAAAGTGAAAAGAAAACTGTAGGTTACGTGTTGTTGATACCATGGCACAATCAACAACAAGCGGAACTTCCTCACGACGATATATGAGGGAACACGAAGTGCCTTCCTCATCACGTTATATGGACAGCGAATGGGAGTCCAAGGAGGTAATTTTTTCAAATTCTAAACTTTATTTTGTAGATTAATTAGAAGATTATTGAATATTTTTTTTTCTTAGTAAATCCCAGAATAACATCCCACCTAACATTTTAAAGAGCAATATAATCCATGTTTATAATATTCAGATGTTATATTATTTGTAATCCGAATTTTATATTGTGTATATATGTTATATATGTTATTTAATTATGAGTTAAAATTTTTAACAATTAATTTTTAGTAATATTCTAATAATTATTCTGTAATAACTATAAGCAACATTTCTTTAAAGATTCATTTGTTTATCAATTAATTCGATTATTCTAAATGTGTGTTTTCTTGTGAAAGGCTTTGCGACAAAGAGAACTTGAAGAGGCAAGAGCACGAGCTGCACAAATGGAAAAAACAATGCGATGGTGGTCAGATTGTACTGCTAATTGGCGTGAAAAATGGAGCAAAGTTCGGAATGAGAGAAATGCAGCTAGAGATGAAGCAAAAGCTCTAAGGGCAAAATTAGAAATTGCTGTTAAAGATGCTAATACTTTCAAACATGACTATCAAGAATTGGAATTGCAAAATGAACAATTGAAGAAGGAGATGGAAAAAATACATATGATACTCTTGAAACATGCTGGGCAGTTTGACCAACAGATTTTTACTATTTTAGAATCAGACCCACAATTAAGAGCTACTTTTGGATTAGATGAACAGTTGGAGTTTTATAGTAACATTGAACCTAATGATACATTAAATACACAAAGGAATATATTATCTTGTAAAACTTTACACGAAGCATCAGATGTTGCTTCGGGAAGTCATAATATCTTGCCAGAAAGGGATATTGAGGAGTATGTTTTGCAAGGTGCAGTGCCAAAACATGCAGTGGAATTGTATAAGGAAAGTCCTAATAATTCATTAGATAAAAATATCACGAAACTAGTCATGGATAATAATGCTAAAAAAGATGTACTGGAGAAGCAACAATTGTCTTTAGATGTCTATGACAAAGAATGCCTGACACAAAAAATGTCGACATTGCAACTTAAATTAGAAGAGGCAACAAAAACTATTTCTGTGGAAAGGGAGTAAGTTACAAATTAATGCTGCAAAAGTAAATTGTTAATAACACAAAAATTTATTTTATTTTTATTTTGTAAGGGAAAACAATTCTCTACATCGTACTGTGGAAAAATTGAAAGCTGAACTTAAACAATTAAGGGAACAATGTGAGGAACTATCTGAAAGTAGAGCAGATACAATGAAAGAGTTGTCACAGTTAAAAGAACGATTTCAATTTGAACTTAATGATGAACACATAGCTGATTTAATAGACGACACTAGTAATGGAGAGGGAATGGATCGTCGTTTAAGTGAATTAAGAACTGAAGTAAGTAATTAATATTAATATTATAAGTAATCTATTAATATTTTTTATATTATAGTTATATTTTCTCTTAAGAGAAAGAAAGTCATTTAAAAAAGTTTGTTAGACTCTCTATTTCTGATTTTTATGCATGTGTATGTTTTATGCTACGTAAATTATATATTTTTTTTAAATTTTTCATGAAATTTTTCACTAAATTTCAGCTAGAAAGACTTCAAGTTGAAAATGCAGCTGAGTGGAGTAAAAGGGAGAGATTAGAGACTGAAAAAATTTCTTTGGAACGAGAAAATAAGCTGCTTCGTTTAAAATTATATGAATTGCAAGAAAAAATGGAATCACGACGACCACGACCGGTGTCTACAGCTGATACAGACACGAGGCAATTACAGCATGAAATTCTAGTTCGCAACATGGTTTGTTATAATTCTATATAAATATAAATGCGTTCTTCATAAATTGAAATGTTTCTCAAAATTATTATTATTACTGTGTCTTTTTCACACAATATTCGTAGGTACTGCTTGAAGTAAAGCAGTATCAAGCGGCGCTAAAACAATCCTTAGCAGAAAAAACAACAGAATTATCACACGCGATGAGACGGTCCGAGCAATATGAAGTAGAGGTGAAACGAGTGAGAGGAAGAGTCGAGGAGTTAAAGAAAGAACTGGCCGCTGCTCAAGATGAAGTCGATACTGCTACAAACAGCGTACGAAAATTACAACGAACCAATGAAGATCTTATGGAACAATTAGAATCTGCAAATGTACAATTGGAGCATTTTAGAAATAGGTAAGTGGGATAATTAATTCAAATGTGTATATATATATATATATATATATATATATATATATATAATTTTTTTTATCTTCTACAATTGAATCTGAAAAATGTATATTTTTATCAGCAAAAACGAATCGTGTGCAGCAGATACTGCTGGAGACAGAGCAGGAGAACAAAAATTCCAAGTAAACAATTCCGATGAATATGCTGAAGGTATGTTATTAACTTAGTAGATTGCTTTTGAATGTAATATAAGAATTAAATGAGAATATATAAATTAGATTTTAAAATATTTTAAATAAAAGTTAGACAACAGATTAAAAATATATTATTTATTCTTTCAGTTTATGATCGACAGCAAGCCTAGTATTCACTCGTGTTGATAATAATGGCATATTTAAGTTAAATAACGAAAATGCAAATTGGATAGATGATTTCTCAGCGAGCCTAAAGTACATAATTAAATTTTTTTCAAATTTATCCATTGAGCGTGATACTTCGACGAATTGTACATGTCGAATAACTATCGTAAGTTACATGTTTATTGTGTTTAATGATAAACATAAAACATCAATACTTCCAATAGCATAAATGTATATATTGCTAGTATATATTGATGTAATGTGCAATTTTAATTACTTGTCGATTGATAAGATTGATAAGATGAGTCATTATGTTGCAGCATTTATTGTTTAGTAGTTCATATATTTACTCAATTTATTGTTAGAGAGATTGTGTTCATCTTTATCATTATTTTCTGTAAATAATCATTTCATCGTAGTATTTTTTTTTTATTTTTGTAAATCTTATGAACATTTTTTTGGCATTGATGGTATTTTATAAACAGTTTACATTCCGCGTTATTATTTTATTACGTATTTTTTTTAGATTGGTGTATATAAAAATATATTTATCATTATGTGTGTGTATATATTGACATATATGATATATATAATGAAACTATGTTTCGTCGCCTCGAAAAAGATTAGCGAAATCGTGAAATACAATATGTACAAGATACGATACCTGATATTTATAATTGAACTTTTTATCTCAATATCGAAAAAATCTATGTAATATAAGTTAACAGAAAGCAATACTCTACAAGTTTATCACATCACAAATGTACTAAATTGTATAGATAGAAATATAAAACGTGAACAAATCTTCATACAATTATCTACATCAAATCTTGAAAGAAAAAGAAAAAGAAGATTATTAATTATATTTATTAACTAGCGAGAAAAAAAAACGAAAAGACAATTTTCTTCTAATTCAAATGTATTTTATTGACAAAACTTAATAAATAGCAGTAATTGATGTAGCATGTTTATTATGCTATACAATCGATTATTTATTATTTTCTTTATTTCAATAAAAAAATTATAATGTCAAAGTATATACAACTTTCAATCCTATGGATTTTTTACATAAAAAAATTGTAATCTTTAATCCATAAGATTGTGTAAGGATTTCCTGTCATATTTTTTATTTTCACATTCACTTTATTCGTTGAAAGCACGAAAAATATACTATTTAAGTTTATGATAGAAAGAATTATAGTGCGAAATATGGTACGCGCGAATGCAATTAATATTCAAATATGATCTATAATCTATATTGTATATATAAGCAACTTACTTACATTTTATTTTTATGTTACAGGTGAAGAAAAAAATGATGTAACGCATAATGTTTTACAGAAACGATTATAGAAAGTAATTATTGTCGTATCTCGCGATGAATAAATCTCATTCAACATTTCATAGGCGTGCCATTGGGATACGTCGGCACTTTTGGTTTGCAAATCTTCGTTCTGCCATTGGAACCGTATACGACATTGCAAGAGAACGTGAAATACCCACAAGTGGAACTCTTTGTGTAATATCGATGCTCGTACTTTCTCGGCTCGTTGTTGCCATTTATCTTACCGGTAAAACTATTAGTCACAGTGTAGTAACTTGGTTTCATAGCCACTGCTGGAGTAGGTCCCGCGCGCTTATCGGAAGATACGTTTTGATTAATAAAAGAACCTTGGCTTTTATTATTCGATGTATGTCGGCCGACATAACGTTCGTGATTGGTTTGAAGCGACCTAGTCTCCGTGACGGGCAATTTAGTGTTATTCAGATCCTTTGGTACCAAAGATACAGTCTGCGATTGAGACTTGCCATCACCTTGAGCGATAGTCTTAGTACCAGAGGTCGATACTACTCTACCACGAAAACCAGTCGGGATAGTATATCCTGAAACAGATTGTCCTGGTTGCAGGGTATGGCCTGTTTGCGGTACGTTTGAATCTTGACTGACGTGAACGTCGTACTGATTTCCCTTGGCGATCTGTATCGTTTGTATTTGACTGGGACTTTGTTGTTGAGAAGTTTTCAGTTTTTGATGATCCGAACTTGACAAAGGCTCCGAAAACTTTTCCTGGATTGTCAACCTTGAACTCGTAGAATAATCATCCTCGTCCGTGTATTCGTCATATTCATCATATGTTGCATCGTCTGTTTGCGATTTCTCAGTAGCTTTCACCTTTTTATCATTAGATGGATTATCTTTGGAACTTACAACAACAGTTTGTTTCGAGGTCGAACTACTCTGCAAACCTTTCTCGCGATTATCTTGTGTGTCTTCGTCGTTTCGACTTGCTGATGGACTCGGTTGCACACTGTCGACATTTGTCGGTTTCTTTAAGAAAGAATCCGGTTTGAAAGGCTTAAAAAGTTCGGAATCGGTAAAATTGAAGGGTTTCCGTGATGATGCGGCACCGGATCCAGAACCAGCTTGAGCCGCGCCGGTGTAGGTGATTCCGTATTGAAAGGAACCCTGCAGTTGCGACTGGGATTGACCTTGATGAGTGCCGCTTTGGGCCGAAGCCGTTCCGCTACCACGGAATGGTGTCATGTTTTTCTCCACCTTTTCATCTTCATTCTTCAAGTATGGCTGAAATCCGATTTGCGCTTGACTAGAAGTACTGCCTTCGCCGTTAGCCTGAGCGTCCGCCATTCCGCCTTTGGAGCTTGCTTGTACTTGAGAATTAGTACCGTGATTCCACCCGCTACTTTGGGCGCCTGTCGAAGTAGCTCCAGAATCTGAATCCAGCTGAACTTGCGTCTGACTTTTTCCATGATCAGCGATACCTTGCGCATTGCTGGTAGCTCCTTCTTTGCCTCCACTAATCTCGGCTTGAGCGCTTTTATTAGCGTCGCTGCTACCAGCTTGGGCAGAAAAGGTGCCTGAACCGCTGTAGGTTCCCGTCACTTGTGATTGAGCCGTACCCGAGCCGTATTTACCTTGGGCCGATGCGCTCGCTTGAGTACCCGACTCCATTTGTTGCACCGAGCTCGACGCTTGTGATTCGGCACCGTTGTCCATTACACCTATCGGCCTACCTGATCCAATATAATATTGCGGTGGTTCTCCGGTTCCTGCAGTTTCACCCATTCCTGTGTAAGGTCTTCTTGGATATTGATCTATTCCTATTTCTTGACCACTAATTCCACCAGGATACAGACCAGGATATTGACCAGTGACACCTGTTTTTGTTTCTCCAGTTGTTGTTTGACCTTCGGTTGTACCTATTGGGTATTGAATACCTCCTGGTACGCCTGTTCCATCGGGAATTCTGGTGCCTGCGCTTGGATATTGTCCGCCTGGGTATGTTGGCACTTGGCCAACTTCACCAGGATAAGCTACTTGACCGGGATATAAAGTAACGTCAGGAGAAATAACTTGTTGCGTACCAGGATATGTACGACCTCCGGGATACGTAACTGGTATAGTAGGACTTCCGGGATAGGTGCCCACTGGATACGTAACTTGAGTACCTGGAGCACCTCTTACTCCTTCAGGAATTCTACCAGGTTGAATTGTATCGCCAGGATAAATCGCTTGTCCGTCTGTTGTTCGACCACCTGGATAAGTTATTATTTGTGTACCAGCACCTACTGAACCTGTGGTCGTGACTACTTGTCCTGGCAAAGTACTTGATGGAAGGCCACCGGAATAAATCACCCTTTGTTGTTCGTCAGGATAAATTCCTTGACTTATTGTTCTTCCCGGAGCAACGCCACTAGGATATGTATCGGCTCTTATTCCTGAGACGGTATCAGGTCGGACACCTCCAGGATAGGTTCCAGTTCCGGGGTAAATTCCTGTTTCAGAAACTCCCGGATATGCTACGCCCGGTAAGCCTTTCCCAGGTGTTATACCACTTGGATATGCTTTAACGCCAGTGACAGCAGTAGTACCTGTTGTTATCGAAGTAGTTACTATGCCATCAGAAGGATAGGTAGGTCCTAGTTGGGCTCGAGGTGGATACATTGTTTCTGGATATGTCTCTACACCTACTCCTGTCGTTACCCCAGGTAAAACTCTTCCAGGCTGAACAACTCCAGGATATAATCCACGATCTTCTGTGACTAAAGTTCCGGGTGGATACTTTCTATCATCTCCTGGTCTTATACCTCCAGGATACATTACACCGACTCCTGGTGTTACAGTACCAGGCTGAACTCCTCCAGGATATATTGCACCGACTCCTGGTGTTACAGTGCCAGGCTGAACACCTGCAGGATATATTGCGCCAACTCCTGGAGTTACAGTATCTGGTCGAACACCTGCAGGATATGTTGGACCAACTCCTGGAGTCACAATGCCAGGCCGGACAGCTCCAGGATATGTTGCACCGACTCCTGGTGTTACAGTGCCAGGCTGAACACCTCCAGGATATGTTGCACCGACTCCTGGTGTTACAGTGCCAGGCTGAACACCTCCAGGATATGTTGCACCGACTCCTGGAGTTACAGTATCAGGCCGAACACCTGTAGGATATGTTACACCAACTCCTGAAGTCACAGTACCAGGTCGAACAGCTCCAGGATATATTGCACCTTCTGGAGTCACACCTCCAGGATATGTTGCAACACCTTCTGGTACCGCTCCGGGTCGGACACCATCAGGATATATCTTATCAGTCCTCGGTGTTACAATTTCTGGACGAACACCTCCAGGATATATTTTATCAGTTTCAGGTTGAATATCTCCCGGATAAATTCCTGGAATACCGGGATAAGTACCGACTCTTCCAGGAATCATTCCACCTGGATATGTTATCTGTTCACCAGGAGTAATTCTACCAGGGTAAGCTGCAGTTATTTCTCCAGGACGTATAGGTGTACCACCAATCCTTGGACCTTGTACATATTTATCAGTATCTGTAGGTAGTATCCTTTCCGGACCTCTGTCTACGCCGGGATATCCAGGACAATCTTCACAACCTGGACCACTCGATGACATACTTTGCGCTTGACCCATACCACGACTGCCACCTGGAAAAGACAATATGTAAGATATTTTAATGTTTTGTAAAAAAATAATTGTTAGGTTTTATTCATTAAAATTTTTACTAATATGTTTATTATATAATAATGTGTATCTCACAATATTCTAATTTCAAAATTTAAAGTCACAAAATTCTTTCAATTTAATTGAATTTAATTAAATTGTTAATTAAATTATTATTATAAAATTTTTAGATAACAAACAACATTATACTTACTCACTACTGCGTGCGAAGATTGCTGAGTGGCTTCAGCTTCCGCCTTGCCTTCCTTCTGTTCATGATTACCAAGATTCAAGTATTGAGATTGTGTTTGTCCGCGAAATTTTCCTCGAAACTGATTTGTCTGTTGACGAACTAGTCGAACTCGATTGAAATTTTCGTCCGACTTTTCCCGTTGTTCGAATTGAATTTGTCTTTTTGCTCGAGTCTTTAGTGGTGTTAAAACCACATCAATTATTCGTCTTGGAAAAATATCATTCTCATCTACAGGGATTTCATTTAGGAAAGGATCGAGAGTTTGCCCAGGTACTGGTTTATTTGTCTGCAGCAAGATAATTCTACGTCCATTGCAGAAATCAATAATTCGATCTCCAGCAAGTTGCCATGCCTATTTATGTTTAAAATATTAAATCAGAATGTTTCAATTCTTTCATTGATATATAATATATATAACATTGTATTCGATTTCTATTTTATATATATATATATATATATATATATATATATTAAAAATTAAGGAATTTTTATTAGCATCACAATATTTATAACAATATGATATTGTTAAATTTATTACTTATCGTTACCTCCAATTTCGTAAGGACTGTCGATGCGTAGAGTACATTTGGTTGTCGTTTCTTATGTGATACATTTCGATCTTGTTTTAATTTCTCAAGATAGCAATCATTCTCCCTTCTACTCTTGTATGCAATGAATTGCTAGTTTTAAAAATAAAATATTTTTAATCTATTATTTTAATATATTACAACAATATAACTACTTACCGTTACGTCGTCAGTAAAAGACCATTGCTTTTCTATATTCTTCATTTTGTGTTCGTTATGAATGGAACGATCAAAACGCGTCTTTTCCTATGAATATTGATATTATTTATACATTAATCATTAATATCTTGCTATTTTTTCAATTTATAATGCGATTATATAATTTTTGATATTAAAATAATTATAATATATAAATAATATATACATAAAATTAAAATATTCTGAGATATATAGAATAGAACATCTTATTGATTTTCATGTCTTAAACTTTGAATTAAAATTATTTTTAACAATAGTAATTAAATTTATGTTTTTAACAGTATTAAGTATTAAAGTTTTAATATTTTGATAAACAGGAATGAAAAAGGATAATGTTACATCAAGAATAAGCTAAGCATGTACACTAAGTATACAATTTCTATTATTGCTTTATCTCATGAACTTTGATCTTCAAATCTTTTTTAAATGGTCTTTCTAATCATATGGATCAGCATGTATGACCTGTGCCAATAACCTGCCATAACGGAATATTGTAATTGGAGCGGCAGATTTATTAATATAATATTTAATTTTACAATGAGATACATTTTAAAAGCACGTTTAAGAAATACGCTTTTTTAGAATATTATTAATTTCAATATAAAATTATATATATTTTATAATAAATATTCTCTAAAAATAAGTATCATTATTTTATATTTTTTTTTTATTGTACATATATAATTATTTTTTTTTAAATTACAGCTTTTTTATACTAATAATTAAAACTCTAATTTTTAAATACATAATATCCAAAATCCCATGGAATATCAAAGTTACTTAGTTGTATAAGAGATCACATTTCTGCGTTTATCGTTACGGTTAGATGATACATGCCGGCAATTTGCTGAATTTCACAACGCCGCGCGAAATACGGCAAATGAAATGTTCTAAATCGTAATTTTAAAAAAGAGATATAAGCAACTCTATCTATTATTTGAAGGAACGAATAAATGACGAACGTTGAAATATCACTTTCTATAAATCTATGATAGCCTGATTAATTTTACAATTGGGTAGCACAATTTGAATACTTTCTCTGAAAATATTTAAAAATTAATTATCTTTGAAATCTCGTACATTAAAACAATCACACGTTGATTCAAAGTTCACAAACTAATGTAAAATAAAATAATAAAAATATTTAATCTCAAAATTTTTTATGTAAACTAAAGTAGGAAATATCATTAAATTATTATATATTCTTTTTTTAATTTAAAATAAGCTAAAATAAAAAATATCACTTATGATTATTATATGTTTTCTGTTTGATTTAAAATAATACACATTGTTTCATAAAATTAATGATTATTATATGTTTTTTGTTTGATTTAAAATAATACACAATGTTTCATAAAATTAATGATTATTATATGTTTTCTGTTTGATTTAAAATAATACACAATGTTTCATAAAATTAATTCACTGCTAATATATTATTTTTTAAATACACAAGCTTTCAAAGATACTATATTCTTCACACAATAAAAACTTGGTCACCTGTTGAAGCAAACATTGCAAACACTTTAATCGTAAAAGAATATAAAAGAATATAATAAAATGAACTCGATATTACTTCATTGTCGAAATGGGAAAGCCGTCAAGAAAAACTTACATGATATCTCGCGAGTACCATACTCGCGAGGAAGATTAGGATAATGAGATATAGCTGCATGGTTTGAATCTTCTGCGAGATCTTCTCCACGACTGACGCGGACCAATGTTTCAATAATGATTCAACCCTGCTAGATCGTGACTCCCACTGACTCTTCTCACTTCTTCCTCTACGTTTCTCCTAGTCTCTTCTTCGGTCTCATCATAGTTGATCCCGCGAAGCGTCTCTGAGGATCATAAGAAACCATAAAGCCATGAGGCGGGAGAAAGAATTGCGCTGGAAGAAATTCTGAGAATGTGCGTTGTGATGTAAGTGCGTACAAACGTTTGTATGTATTATGTTATCTCTTTTAGTCTCGTCTTGTCAGGGCGGATCTCATTACTACTTACTGAGATATACGCTCATGACTGTTACTGATTCGGAGTATCATCGTATTGCAGTTAGAAAAAATGGAGGAACTCTAATTCCTTTTATCTTTGTATTATTTATACAAGAGACAGTACAAGTTGTCTTAGATTTGTATATATGTTATACAAATTACAAAATGTTATACAAAATTAAAAAATATATAAAAATGTTACACAAAATTAAAAGTGTTATATAAAATTTAAAAAATATAAATACACTTATATAATTATTAAAAAATCTTTGATAGAATTTACAATTTTCTTCGACAAAATTTTTTAATTCTTACATAGTTTAATAACACAAAGATGATTTATTTGTTATATTTTTATTACAATATCTTTTATATATTTTTTCATTATTCTATTAATTATATATATTTGGAAATATTTTTTCAGACAAAATTTCTCATGTATTTTAAGAATAAATAACAATCCAAAGTTTTTTTACATTATTGATGATCATTATTTTATAATGTTTATATAAATTAATTATACCTTAATTTATGATACTAATGTATGCAAATTCTCTTACCTTTATTTAAACCATAAATTTATCAATTAAAGGCAACATGGAATTAACTTTGTATGATTGATTTATACGATTATCATGAGTTAGTCATTTTTGCTTTCGTTGGCCTAATTATTGAGTTCAATCTATTTGTTAAACACAGTTAGCCGTTGTTTATCCTACTACCAAGCGAAACTAATGATCGTATGGTTCATCGACGCGATAACGCGAGTTCAATAAGTAAAAAGACCAAAAGAATGTTGAACAGAAAGCTTTGTGCGAATGCACATTATTGCAATTCGATAGATATCGGAATTAAATTATTCTGACACAACTTTTTTAAACTTATTATGTTTTAAATATTATGATATTTTCTTTTCTATAGTCATTTCATATAATCTGATTATATTTTATTTTCATACTAATGTTAATTTTATATTCAGCTCTGATATCAATATTAATCTATATTAATACATATCTATCTTAATACACATCACAGCACAAAAATTACATTGAGTTTAAAAAATTTTCCACGTCTTAGAAATATATAATTCAAATTGATTTTTTTTGAAAAAGAATTTTATTTTGTACATGAAAAATCTTTAGAAATATGAAAGGATTATAGGAAGAAGGATATTAAAAAGAAGAAGTAGGACAAATATAAAATTAATTCAAACATATATCATATCGTATACTTATTCTTTCGTTACGATAAGACAAGATTTTTACAATTCGTACAAAAATGTGGGTAAATATTTTATGTAGGCACTCCGGTGTACAAATAGCACATACAACAGGTGTATAATAGATCTAATTATCTAAAAATGACTATACCAATGTCTCTCTCGCGAATTCTAATATGTAAAAGTGGGAATGCTATTTACAACATGTGTCACGACTACGTCTTAACACTAGATCAGGATTTCTATTTTCATCCACAGGCAATCTATTGAATCGAAGTGACTAGGACGCGTCCGAATCGCTCGTCAATTGCAATTTTTTTAGAGCATAAACAAATTATTCGGCAAACGCGACGCAATCGATCTCTTATTGCGTAATACATTACACCTATATGAAATCTTTATAATAACCGTTGTCATTTGCATAATCCACGTAATCTTGCCGTTCTTTGAATCATTGAAGAAGAAATATGTCATCGATTTCTTTCTAAACAAAATCCATCGAGAAAAAAATAAATTACAAAATTGAGAAATTTGTCACGACGGCAGATTACGTTCGCAATGACAGAACGGCTTCGACTAGTTTGACACTCTGATCGGATACCAATTTCTGGTATCAAGAAATGAATATGAAAGAAGAAGGCTTATTTATCATCGCTATAATTACTTCACTGATGGAGCATATACAACCTACGCTACGGCTCTAAACGATGCGCTCGATTGAATAACATTTGTTGGCATTACATATGATATTTTAATCGTATGTAGCATAACAAAATTTATTACATAAAATAATAGATATACTAATAAACGATCAACGAATTTAAACTCATTTTCTATAATATGTGAAATGTAGCATTATATTTTATTTTGATAGATAAATTTTCGCATTGTTTGGAGCCGGCTTTTTGCTTTTCGCAACTGGTTGCGCAATTTCGAATCACAGATATACGCTCTCATGCTTTTGAGGACATCTCAACACTTGCATTCCAATGCATTCTAAATTTTTTCAACACAACCATAAACTTGCACCGAATGCTATATCATTTTCTTCGACATTTTATGATCGCAAACGTAACTCTGTTACATTCGACTACAATATATTCTCGCGCAATATATTCTCAATATATTCGTTGGATTCACTTATTATATTTTAGAAACGTGTCAGTTATACGTATTTACATCATGTAAAATCGATAGCTGCCTCGAAGAGCCTCGAATCCTTATCATTTAATTCTAAATTAATAACATGAAGGCACTGCAATTCTGTTTGCATGTCGATAATTTATTTTAATTGCTTAACATCATGCGATATAGCTACATCTTTAGATAAATAAGTTTGGCGTTTAATAAACTCTCATATCAGAAGCGATCTTACGCCTCGAAAGTATTCTCATACCGTATATATCAATTCTATCGGAGCTATTTTACTGTGTCGAATTATACGTTGAAAAACGTGATCTGATATTTATAAAACACGTCTTTATGCTAACAAGTATCTAAATTAACGGCTTATAGATTTAACATTATGACTACTTACTAAATGGTCCCTAATTCTTGGAAGATGCTTGGAATAGTATCTGTCACACACAATACTCTGTTGTTTCGCAACTGTTTAGTTTATCAGAAATTATTAGCATATTCATTATCAGAAATAATCTTCATTCGATCACAATGAAGAAAGGCGACAATATACATGACAATCTCTGATAATGTCTACGAAAACTCCTTCGAAAATAATCGAAAACTCCATGAAAATGTTTAACAATTATAAAATTATCATTCAGCAATCATACAAAAAAATAACGTTTCAATTTCAATCAGAATTTGATAAGAAAAGATTTATTCTAAATTGATTATTCAAAAATCAATTTAAAAAAACAACGATAGTTTTAGGATATTTTAAAATATCCTAAAATTGTCAATGTTTCTTTTAATTAGTTCTTCCCAATCAAACAATGTAAATCTTTTTGTCAATTTCTCAATTAAATCCTTTCATAATAATCTTATAAAAATAGCAACTTGATTATTTAAAAGCAAAAATTTAAATGACTGATTTAAAAAATTCCTGCTGCTAAAAGAATCCTTTGCTTTAATTTTTCGTCAAAACTCTAGATTTGAAATTCTCTCTAGATAAAATATTCTAAAATTCCTACAAATTTCTAATTGAATGAATTCAAAAGAATTTCTGATTGTGGAATTTTTCGTACGAAAGTAAGCATGAAGTCAAATCCGTATCTTTTTAACACGACTGATTCGATCTAATTACAGGTGCCGATTAATTCTTAAGCAATGGCCAAATTTAAAGTCATCCCGGTAGATCTCGAGAAAGCCGAAGATCTCGTCGAATCGGAATAATCGAACGTAGTTGAGGAACTCTTAACATCGTTTTCGAAACGCAGATGCAGATGCTCCGGATTAGGAGATATCACCGACGTCCTGATGACCATCCTGGACACGTATTCCGAATCCTTCGCCGCCGAATCGGGGCTCTGCTTCTCCTCGTTCGAATCATTCGGACAGGGCGTTCTCTCTTTGCAGGATCGCTTCGATGATATCGCCACGTCCGTCGTTCTGGTATGCCTGATGATCGCGGAGAATGCCGACGATGGACCCTTTTGGTCTCGATCGAGTCCTAATCGAGGAACTATGACGCTGGTGGGCGATGCTGTAATGCCGCATGGCGTCGTCTGCGGTCTACTCAAGGACGATAGTACTGGAGCACTCGATTTCACCGATAGCGATGTCGTTTGTTGTTCGATTTGATCGGACTTTTCCGTGGACGATCGATGATGGGCACGCATACAGGATGACTCCTCGTGTTTATAAAGGTAAGACTTTAGCGCGAAAGCCTTGCCGCAACGACCGCACACATGAGGTTTCGTATTCGAGTGTGTTTGTATATGAGCCCGTAAGTTCGATTTGTCGGCAAAAGCTTTGTTGCAAATGGTGCATTTGAAAGGTTTCTCGCCTAAAAAGAAAAATAATTATTATTAAATATCGAAGTTTTTGTATACATACTTTTTCTTTCAGATTAAAATATATTTAAAAAATATTTAAATATAAAACATTTAAATATTTTCTTTCAAATATAAAATATGTTTAAAAAATAAAATGTGTAGAAAAATAATAATTATTTAAAATTAAATTAAAATTTAAAGATAAAAAATGAAATAGAAAATTGCCCAATTAATGAATTTTCCATTTTTCCATTTGATCTCTTCTTCAGCTTGAATATTTCAATTAACTCTTCAATGTATTTCTTCAACCACTTAAGTTGGAGGATGTAGATATATTACGCGTGTCACTAATCTCACATTTGTACATCTACAATTTGCAGTCGGAAATAGTGCCTCATAGAGTGTGCCAAAATCACTTCGTGAATGATTAATTTGAATTCGTCTTCATTGAAATTGCCCGTTAAACTTTGTACTTTCTTCAAGAATAAAATTTGCCTTAGTTATTTACATAATATTTATTTTAAAAACGCAATCGAGAGAAAATTAAATAATTTTATTGAATTAAATTAGAAAGACACGGGAAATTATTAATTTTTAAAAGTTTAATTATCTTTTTACACGTCAATTTATACCATAATTTTTATTTTATTTATAATAAAAATTATCATTGAAAATAAGAAAATAAAGCATCTTTCAGAAGCGTATACCTGTATGCGTACGTATGTGTCCCTGCAACAACCACGGCCTAGAGAAGCATTTGCCGCAATAATGACACTTGCATCCCTGATTGTGAGTCCTCACGTGCATGCTGAATGCCGGCATGCTGACGTAGACTTTATCGCAGTGCGGGCACCTTCTGGCCTTCTTATCGCCCAGCGACCTGTGCGTTTGACGATGTCTAGCCAAATTCGACGAAGTCGAGTACTTCTTGCCGCAATCGGGACATTCGTGATCTTCGTTCTCTTCCGCCTTGGGCTCCGCAGCGATCGTTCTCCGACTTTGGGACACGGTCGACGATAACGACACCGGCGATGGATCGACGCTAGAAACTATCGGCATTTTCGAGAAGCTCGGCTCTTCCTGCAAGGAACAGGAGGGATGTCGCGGTGAAAGACGAAGCCCCAAGGTGGTATTCTCCTCGGATCGACTCTCCAGGATCTCCTTCTCGGTTTCGATCCGTTCGAAGAAAAGCCTCGTTCGTTCGTCCAAGACTTGATCCTGATTTTCCATTACCTGGGCAGTAGATCGAGACGCCAGGGACCTGCTCTTCTCTGCAGGATACTGCGCAACTTTCGGTGACATCGGTCGTTGGTAGATGACATTGCTGTGATGAATCAGAGTACCTGCCGCTGCTGCCAGGCTCACTTCCGCCAATTTCGTCAGATTGTATAGCTCCTCGGGGCATTCGGACGATGTCTCGCTGCCGCACTCGCTGGCGCCATCAGAAGTTGGCTGACCGCCGCTGTAATCGGCCAGTCTCACGCTTCTCTCGGGACTAAAATCTGAGTGCAAATGAAAAAGGATGTAATTATTGAAATTGTTTAATTGTTAAAAAAGATGAATATTTTAATTGCCTTTTTATTTAATGGATTCAAATAATTTTTTTCAAATAATTTTTTTGGAAAAGATAATCACTATCTTCGCAGTCTCTCAGTCTCAAGATAATTTGAATTGTATAAACTTCTGTAAACTTCATGAAATTTCATTTAGATTATTTAAATTATTTAAATTTATTTAATGCGGATAAGAAAATAAAATTAACTTTAATATTTTTAATTGGTCATATTAAGTGATTCTTAAATAAATATGAAATATTTTTTATTCAATAAAATATTTCTCTGCAAAGTTTTATTAATTTATCTTTACATTTCGCAAACGCAATAAATTACAATTAATTTATATTTTATTTTATACCTTTTTATGAATTGTACTGTTTCAAGTGCGGGTCTTTTGATAGTTCCCGACTGACTGATTGGCAAGGAAACTCGATGTCGACGTGATTCGTAAAACACGATATACACCTTCAAAGAAGGGGAGAGAGAAACTGCTACGTTACTAGCTGCTCCGTTTTCGGGGAGAACGGAAATAGAGTCATACCGCGACCAACCCCCGCTTACAAGTTCTTAGTATACCGCGCTTATTCTATGTATTTCTTAGTCCGTGTACATGCGTTGCATTTGTGAGGAAGTTTGCCTGTCTGCTTCATGGTGAGATTGACGGCATCGCGACGGTATGCATCGTGGTGGGCCCTGATGACGCATCTAGCGTCCTATTCTTAAATTCACGTGATCCACCACCTTAATTTACGAAGCAACGATGAGTTTTCTTGATTTTAATTTAGTCTGAGAAAAGGAGATTTATGTATGATGTATGTAAAAATTGAGATTTTGACATTTCACGAGTTATAATAAATTCCACGTCTAGCAATTTTTTTCATAATTGAATAGCTCATTAAGTATTGGGATAATATCTATTTCGCGAAAGTAAATAAATTTTTATCGCTGTACAAAATTCTCGCAGAAGACCTTTCGGAAATATTAATTCAGGATTTTCATTTCATTTAAAGCATAAAATATTAATTCAGGATTTCATTTCATTTAAAGCATAAAAAATATTTAAAAAATATACGAAAAATTGGTTAAATATTTATTTGTTGTGTGCGTATGTATATATATCAAAAATCACATGTGTTAAATGTCCTAAATTCTCTACTTTATCATCCAATAATTATTGGAAAAATTTATTAAAATTTTATTGAATTGTAATAGATTAAATCTATTCATCAATTAAAAAATAAAAATAATTGTTATTAAATAATAATAAAATCATAAAATCTCTGGTTACTAATTAAGTATCTTTTAACTAAACAATTTTATTACTAGCAATTTTTCTCACGATGTACATTTAATCTGTGACATTTAAATCGTTTTAAGATTGAAAATTTTGAAATTATAAATATCTTAGCACTCTTTTTTTAATTTTTTATTTAATCATTGTCATTTATCACATAACTAATCAAATATAATACGTGCTCCATTTTTATTTAAAACTGCAATGTATCTAATTAACAACATACCTCTTTCAGACCCTCCGATCTCTTCTTCAGCACCGTTATATCTGCGATGGGTGATCAGGAACGCTCGCGGCATTTTCCTCGTCTTCCTCGATTTTTCTTCTCAATGCACACAAGTCATACTTATACAATACAAGACTCACAAACACACTCGTCGCACCGACTGTCTGCAGTATTATTTGCAAGAAGGATGAAGATAAGTCCGATGATCGCGATATCGGGAAGAAGGATTACAATCCGATCGGTGGCGTGTACGTCGAGCGGCGTAGGGGTTGCGTTCGCTTCGGCAATTTCGGGCGCAATAGTTGCCCCGGCTAAGATTCGGGGCTACATATAGCCAGCGCAGCCTCCCTCGCCCTCCGTTGCCGCTGCCGCCGCGGCGCTCTTCGTCATCATCGTCGTCGTCGTCTTCTTCGCCTTCAGCTGCACGCGTCTCAGAAGCGTGCCCGCCCGGTTTCCCCGCGCGTGTGGTGGTCCCGTTCGTGTGGCGGCAATGTGCGACACGCGTGACGAGTGCGTCTCGCGGGAGAGCGCGGGTGAAAGGCCGCGTAGGAGGAACACAAGCGGTCTCCACAGCTCACGCGCAGGGTGGTTGCTAACCACCCTCCCCTCGGCAAGTTGTCCTGCCATTATCGCTCGTTACTGGACATTATCCCGCATCACAACAAGAAGATTATTATATTTTTTGATTGGGAGGAGGGGGGTTAAATTGAAGTGATAGAATTTATCACAAAATAGAATATTATCATTGTTAATTTTTAATGAATGCAATTTTCAGATTCTTCCATTAAATTTAACTTAGATTCTATTTTATTCTTAAGTTCTATTCTATTCTTAAGTTCTTTTAATTCAATCTCTATTATTTAATATTGCATATTTAATATTACAATATCCAATTTTTAAAAGAGAACAACAAAGAACAGAAGAATTAAAAGAATTTGTAGCTATCCTGTATCTAGCAAGTTCAAGAAGATCGGTGCGATCCATTTATCTTATTTAAACGAAAGATTTGATGGCAAGCAGATATGTGATAACGGCGTCATTTCATCGGCGGCTACAGGGTAGGAGCAGGTTGGTGCGCTGAGTGGTTCTTCTGGCGCGACGCCAGGCGTCCGCTGAATTTAGCACCGCGGCGCTGACTAACTCGCGTGGCATTCATTCAATCGTCGACCAAAAAGCCCCGCTGCCTCTATAGTCTCTTGCTCTTTGCTAGGACGATTAGTAAAAAAAAGAGATTCAATTTTGATTCTCCTGAAATTTAATTCGAATTTTTAATGCAAAATTTACTAAACTAGCAAATATATAAAATTCTCTAATTATTGTATATTTTTTCTCGATAATTTTGATACTGTCTTCCGTCAAGAAATTGATCATAATCGTTTTTAGTTATGAAAGATAATCATTAAATGTCTTGTTTAGTAGTTAAATTAATTAATCAGTGGATACAGTACTGGCCAAAAATATATCACCTTTATGCTTTTTGAATAACTTAACTTAAAGTGAATAACTTAATTCAAAGTGTATAAATTTGTGTGTATATTTCTATCTAATCGCATGTTTTAATAGTAGGTATATAGATTACTGAACAATAGACTTTTCATTCAATAATGGATACAGCAATTTAAGAAAAATTAATTAAATATATATACTTTGAATTAAATTATCCTAAAAAAAGGTGACATATTTTTGACTGGTACTGTAAATATAAATTTTATGGAATTGTAAATGCTTCATTAATGCTTATTAGAAATGTTGATCATTTCTAATTTTATTAATAAATCCTTTTTATTAATGAAAAACGATTTAATTGATCAACTCTGCAGCATATATTTAGTCTAATATACTTGAAATGTTCATTTATAATTTCATTTATTATTAATATATTTTTTATTTATCTTGCATTATCATTATTTATTATATATTAATTTATTATCTATTTATCTATTATAAATGTAACAAAACTCTTATATTATACGTTCGTTTTTCAGAAAATTTACAATTTCTGCGGTTGAAGAGAATTTATGAATCATAGTCAACTATTAAATGTTCCAACCATGTCATTTTCGTGTTATACATATAAAAAGAAAACATTAGAGATTTGTCAAGGTAAAAAACAAAATTAAAATCTCAAAGCATTCTTTATCAAATGTCTAGGTCAGGATAAAGAATTTGTGAGTTTTCGAAATTGCAAGAAATCTTTAGATGGGAGTTGCGGAACAGGTGTCTCGGCGATGATATCATAAATCGTTGACGGTATCGTCGTCGAACGGCCAAAAATAAAATCACGAGCTCCGAGAACGTCGAGCGAGAGAGTGAGAGCATCTTCACCACTGACGCAACTCGCAACTCGACAACAGATTGCCTGCCATGCCGCCATCACACGCATTGCTCGCTACAGATCACGTCCATTAATGTAACGGCACCGATAGTGCGAGCACCTCGTGCCTTTCTGCGCTTTATCCGGCGGCTCATCCTACAGGTGCCCCAAAGATATTTCGTATGCCCACTAGTCGCGTATTTTCAGCTTTCTTGGAGCGTCTCCAGGTGCGAGGGAGGAGGAAAAGATACGCGATGTCGTCGAAGGTTTTGACGGATAAATCGCGATTGGCGATCACACGTGCGACTCTTATGAAAGACAGCGGAAGATTATACGATTACGAAGAAAAATGACATTCGCTTAGGAGTCAGTTGTAATTCGTTAAGGTCAATGATTGAAAGGTTTCAATGAAACAATCTTAATCATGATAAAAATGAAAAGATTATAATTAATAATTCATACAGATTTTCATCGGGACAAGCCTGTAAAAACAAGTCCCATTTTAGGTAATTTTTCGTTTAAAAAAATGGATAAGTATAGGGGCGGGTTTTTTTTTGCTCCACTAGCGGGGTCGCTAGATCATTAAGAGTGATTCCTAGAGGCGGCAGGATCGTTTAAGGCGAAAATGCGTGACTGTATCGTGTGTCATCCCGCGTGTAAAGTATCCGGATACGCTCGGTTCCTTCTATAAATCAGCAGCCTCCCGCGCGCTTCCTCTTTTCCTCGATGGTAGCAAGTACTTTCCGCGTGCCGGAAAAAAGGGAAGAGCACGCGATCGCTATTTAAAAGGCTCGTAGGTGGGCGGCTTTTTAGCAGTAGTCGGGATATGTATAAAAGGCGGTAAGCGCAGGGGGAGAGAGAAAGAGAAAGAGAGAGAGCTTCGACTTCGCCGCTCCTCCGGCGGCCTCGGCATGGGGTTGCCATGCTATTTTCAGGCTGCGATGGCTCGATGCAGCTGTCGTGTTCTTCGGGTAAACCACCTCTCTTCTATTCCACGGCCATCCGCAAGACGCGACAAGGTAAGCTAAGAAGATCGGAATCCAGAATCTCGCGACCCGAGAGACACATCTCCCTACTGGTGAATTTTTCTTAAAGTCAGACGTCCGCCAATTCTGCTTCTTGGTAACCGAGGCAGGCAGAGTGAAACATGTCTTTAATTTTTACAAAATTTTTTTGCATTGGCAGAGAAAAAAATTGAATTAAATTTTAATAAAGAAAAATTGTAGCAGTTTTCCATTTCTACGTTTCTGAAAATAAAAAAATAATAATAAAAATATTAAAAATAATAAAAATAATAAAAATATTATTAGCAAACATTCTTTAGAATAAAGTATCTTTTCTAATTTCTAATAAATATCAGAATTTCGATACGAGTTAAAAAATTAATTTTTATTATTATAAATACAGATATTTTTTACAATTTTCTTTGCTAAATTTAATAAAGAATGTATGCTACTTATATTATTAGAAGAAACTTGTACAATTTATGTTACATTGTAATTAGCAATTGATATCTATATCAAATGTTAACGTCATATAACTACTAAGTTTTGCGTCGTATACTATCATAAACATTTATGCAAACGTTATGAAATAATAATCAAAGCTTTACGATCTCCAAAAATTTTCGAAAAACATTTTCGCCTAGATTTTGCAATCGAGAAATCTATAAATTGATCGAATTCCGAGAACAGCAACAGATGATGATGAAGATTCACGATGCTCTTCTACGAAAAGATGTGTCGGCGGGAAAGTGGGAATAAAAGTTCCCGCGGATCGTCTTCCGCGGAAGAGCTTCCACTGGAGAATGAGGGATGAAGACGAAGCCGAAGATAAGTCGCGAAGACTTGGCGGGACGCCAAACGACAGATTTTCAGCCGTCTACGTGTACTCTTTCAACTTTCCAATCTGCGCTTTCCTTCGGCTCCCCTATGCATCCTCTAAGATCTAGGGTACAATGACACCGGGAGGTGCAGTTTAATTCTCTATTCATGGTCCGTGAATCATTATACGAGAATATGCTTTACATGTCTCGATTATTCCTCAACATTGTCGTCATTTTTAGGCACGTAAGCGAAAAAAGAAAAAAATGTGCATTAATAGATGTAAAAGTAAAGAGGTGTGAAAAGAGACAGGATGAGAATGCAAAATAATTAATTGTTTTTGACTAATTTTAATGCTGAAAAGAAACAAATTAGGATTTAAAATGAATTGTTAAGTGATTTGTAGCTTTGCGTGAACGAATTAATAAAAATAAGTATCTCGAAAGTAAAGATCTACAATATTTAGATATAATGAATTGATGTTCTCGATAAATTGAAGAAAAAAAAATGAAAAAAAAATTTGAGGAGTATCCCTGGTGGCAAAAAATGTCGACCGGAACGACTCTTAATTTAGTTCTGGGTGCAAGAGGTTAACACTGGGTGGAGACATCCATGGAAGTGCCTCCCTTTAAGGGAGAGAACACCGTAAGACGTTGGCTCGTGTTTAAAGCAATGTCCTCGAGGATAAAGGGAGACAGTTTCTTCCGGAGAACACAACCGCTTGTTTCATATTTCCTCGATCATGTTCTATTCTTATATCATCATCTGAACAAATTCAGATATTCGCCTCTTTCTTCGCTACTATTGAAATAATCCTGATCGAGGGAAAGCAAAATAATCATTTGATATTATTTGATTGAAATTATGCGATGATTAATAGAATAAGATCAATTATGTAAAATTTTAATATATTTATTAGAAATAATCAATTTTTTTACATTTTTCGGCATATCTTTATGTGCTATTATACTAAATCGTTTGTTTCATATTACAAATATTTTATATTAAATTAATTAAACTTTTATATGCAATGTAAATATAAATATTTTCTATAATTATTTGAAACGATTGCATTTAACTGATCAATAAGACTATATTATTTTATTTTTTGACGAAAACTTTTAATGAATAATCTTTCACCTTGTCTTTTAGAGATAGATTACAATACTTTGACATAATCCAAAGGCGAAATCTCCTCTCGAGACACGATCGCACCCTTCCTTTTATTCGTGTGTATTTATCTATTCATTTCCATCTAGATCTCCACC